TGTTAAGGATTATGTTAGACGAAAACACGATTTCGTAAAATTTTCTCAATAGAAAAAAAATTCAAAGTTACCTGTAAAATAAACAATAAACCGGCGTTATTCATAAAATACTTTAAATAAGATCATAAAACTTTGCATACTAACTGAACTAACTATAAAGCAGTGCTTATGTTATTTACTTTTTTTAAAATACCATTATTTTCACTGTAAAAAAGAAATTACCTAAACTATCGGCCTCTTGAAGCGTTATTCCTGCCGCCCGGTCACTTCGCTTCGGCCTTTGAAGGGGGGAGGTTGTGTCGCTTACGATCAGAATACACATTACGCAACAGGACGACGTAAAATTAAAATGGGAAATAACCGTAATAAAAATAAGAAGCGACTGGCTTGGCGTTAAGAAACAGGAATAAATATGATAAACCTAATGAAATAAGTGTCTAACGACCTTTCTACTTACAGTATTAGTGATTACAAACATGTCGGTACATAGCATACGACGCGCGGGCAAGTGGGGACGAAATTAGAATTTGAGCTGACTTACTATATCCCCTTAAGAGTCTATACTACCTCATATGACTTAGCATGATCCTCCGTTATGCCGAAAATACTGCAGCATTAATTTTGAAATAAAAATAGGATAAAGTTGAGGATTCATGTTTAGTACTTTCTACGTTTAACGAAAACACGTTTGCAAAAATTTTGATGACGCAATGAACCGCTGGTATTCTAAAAATACTTCAAATTTGAAAATTGAATTCAAATTCAAATTTGATCTAATTAGATCATGAAACTTTGCGTACTAACTGAACTATCTATATGCAGGTCTTATGTTTTTTTTAATTACCATTATTTTCACCGTAAAAAGAAATTACCTAAAGAAGCAGGTAAACATCTGATAAACGTAATGAAGTACGATCTCAAAACAGCAGCAACTTCTAAATCCTATTGAAAGTAATTATTAATTGCGAACAAACAGTGGCACTCGGAATATTTTCTACGATTTTTTTATGTAACGTTTATGTGACAAGATCAGATGCAAGCCTTAATGCAGTATCAGGGTTACAGGAACAATCATATATCCTAATCAAGCGACTAGTGTTTTTGCACAAATGTTAACTCCAGCTGTGTTTTGAACCCGTAAACAGCCATCACTGATTTAATTTTTTTTCTTACAGCAAAATCCTGCCTTATTCCTGCCGCATATGATAGCTAATCTAATAACAGTGTTTGCCAAAATACTGAATGCACTACTTACTCTTTCCAAAATTAATATAAAATCAATTGCTCTATTCAAACAAAAAACTGCAACGATCGCTATAATGATGTTTAATTGGTGTCAAGAATTTTGCGTTTTCAGACAATATCTTTGCATTTGTGATCTTTAAGTGTTTAACGTTTTATGTACTTATGTAAATAATCATAACTACTGTGTTATTTTATTTTTTAAAGTTTTATCAATTCAACCGTATTTTTAAATGTAAGTGCGTAACGATACTTTCGAGGTCCCATATAAATTTTAAGACAGTTGAAATTTTACAAATGCAATGATAGTTGAAGTTGGTAATATAATCTTTTAAATAATCCAATTATAATAAAAGATAAGCCGTACAAATTCTTAGCGGCACATAGTTCTGTGATCTATGACAGAAAAAATCCATTTAACGTCATTGTTCAGAACGGCCAGTTTTTAAAATAAAATAAGTGTGAGAAAAGAGCACATAGTCCACCTCATGGTTAGTGGATGCAAATGCAGATGTGGTGTCACCACTGAGGAATGAGATGGAATGCGAAACACAGTAGCATGAAGCTGCTATTTTACGCTAATATTAATAAATATTCATCCAATAGTTATTGACTAGCCGTAATGATTTCTTAAATTTACGCGAACACTACACATTGAATAAAACTATTATTTACGGATTTTATCGCGTTTAATTACTTTAATTTATTTTTATTATTATCCCGACGTTTCGGGTGCTTTACAGCACCCATGGTCACGGGGGGACTGAGATGTTTGACGTCCCAATGTCATAGTAATGTCATAGAAGGTAGCCGGACTAACTATGACATTGGGACGTCAAACATCTCAGTCCCCCCCGTGACCATGGGTGCTGTAAAGCACCCGAAACGTCGGGATAATAATAAAAATAAATTAAAGTAATTAAACGCGATAAAATCCGTAAATAATAGTTTTATTCAATGTAATAGCCGTGCAAATCTTATTGATATAATGTGGATGTGATGTCGCAGTCTGAAGACACCTACATTTATCATGAATTCAAAATAAAATACAGATTAAATGCTATTTTACGTGGGATGGTACGTGCTGTGAGAGCATGGTCTTCACACGGTCGGTCCATTCGTGCTGTAGTTAATGTAAAAATTTTTTAGACAGTACTGTAAGCAGTGTTCGGACGACCGTTGTCGTAAGGAAGCAGTGGACTAGAACGATTATATAGTTTACAATTCCTGATCTCTAATATTTTTTCTTAAATATTTTTGTAATACCGAAATTATATTGTCTTATAAGATCAGTAAGAAATGCGCAATGATTCTAAAATTTTATATGTATAAACTAATAAAATAGTGACGATACATCGAAATCTTTAAACCAATGAATATATTATTTTTTGTAAAAAAATATTCATATTATAGTGTTCACAATGAGAATTAGTGACAGTGTGTTATAATTTCCAACATTCTTTACGAATAGCTTTGTTAAGAAAACTCTCACGAAGTACTCTACTCTACCTTTTATGACTTTCAAAAAGTTATTGTAGACCTAAGTATACAATTTCTGTATTCTGAGGTGTGGGCTTATCGCATAGCGTAGTTGCTTTAGTTTGGTTGCAGTTTGATGAAAATATTTTAATAGAACAGTATTGCACCGCGTTATACATTCGACATATTTTTTTCTCTATAAATTGTACTTAACAGTTTACCATGCAAATTAGAAGACAAAGTTATCAGTGCCATATATTTAAAGAAAATATGGTGCCGACCTACTAAGATGTCATGAAATGTTACGAATAGATTACGAGTAGATTTAATCTAGACAGGACTACTATCAATGAACCATCATTTTTAGAAATTGCGGAGCTAGTGGCTCGAAGAATAGAAGATATGTGGACACGCAAGTCATTCAGTTATTAAATGCTTAACATTTAATTTTTTTCTGATGAAAAATTTATCGGATGAAAACAGAACAATCAGACTTTTTAAGCTTTTTAAACGAATTATTATTTGTTTAGACCTAAGACAACATAATATTGCTATTAAAAGACAATAAAATTATTATGAACATAAAATTCCATAAATTAGTGACCAACCCTAATGGTCATATCGGACTAAAATCCTATGACGCGTCCACTTCGCCGCATATTAGCGAAACCACGGAAATCCTTTCGCATACACCCATAAACGAGACATACTCCAACTTTTTTCACGATTTTTATCGACAGGACTACGGGAATGCTTTCGTTTACTATCGCAACCATAGATTACTAATACCTACATATATAATATACTAGTAAGTAGCCCACAGCAACTATGTAAGCAGTGAAACCTGGATAACTGAGACCTTAAGGGACCTGCAAATTTGTCTCACTTAAAGAGGTATTCCACTTACACCGTGTCTCAGATATCCAGGTATAAATAAATATCTGTCTCAATTACAGAGGGTTCCATTAAAAGAATTGAGAATAGAGGTTGTCAGTTATAGAGGTGGGATTATTAAATAAAATAACGTATTCAGTAAACATTATACATGAGTTGTAATTAAGAACGTTTTTTATAAACTATACAAAAATGCGTATATACGGAATGAAAAACTGGAGGTCACTTTTACACAATTAGCCAAGTGCGGAATTTGCAGGTAGAGTAAGAATTAGTAAAAACGGTACACAAATAATATAGTCTCAGTAAAAGAGGTAAAATACACTGGCTGTCTCAATTATAGAGGTAACTATCTGGTTTAAGAAATTTATTATCTCAAGAATTTTACATTCACTTATGAGACTCACATATCTACAGCTTAATATAAATTTGGTTTGGGCTATTCGTACAAGGTAATAATGCAAATTACAACAAAAACTACCGAAGACATACAAAACTAAATGTAGGTGGTTTTAAAAATTTTGTTTAGCGACAGCAATGGCTCGTCAGACTTCATGCAAATTCGGCCGCCGACTTCTTAATGTCGATTTACACAGATAAGCATTACTGGATGTGACTCGCTAAGTGTTATTATTAGTATGGTAGATTAGTTTTGATAGTCAAGAAAAATCTGATTGTCATGTATTAAAATTTATATCTATAATGAGCTGTTGTAATATTTATATTATTTATTATTTGAAGTAACTTAAATAATTGATGTTTTTAGGGTATAAGCAGATGTTAACTTAGATATTATGTATTTATTTATACCAGTTATTGAAATACGAAAATTATTCATATATATATATATATATATATATATATATATATATATATATATATATGGTTTAATATATTTATTTCTCAAAAAAATTAAAATTCACTTACATAAGTAATGTACAATACTAACGTAATTTTATATTAAACGGCACGACACACAAACAAACTGATAACAAAATAAAAATACATTTTTTTTATAGTCTAAACAAATAATGTTAAAAGTTATGAGTACATACTAAAATAATAAAAAAAGGAAACTAAACAAAATGAAACTTAGGCGAAACAACGATATTGAATTAATAACACCGCGAATAAATTTCGGTAAAAAATGTATAATGTATGAAGGTTCCCAAATATATAACAAATTACCTAAAGATATAAGAGACTCAAAATCAATGCACACAATACATACAAAACATCAATACAAAAATAATAAAATACGCTTAAACGAACTTAATTCTTAAGTTAATAAGGTGCATATAATAAATCGGCATACACTCCCCTACGCTGTTGTGACATTACTCTGCTAAGTACGCTGCGAGTGAATACACGCACCACAGATCAACATGATGCCAATACGCTCACCTACTAGAAGTGGCACAGGTGCCGGACTTAATGGTTTACAGCCCAATTTATCGACGGGAGAGTCAGCCACAGACGTTTCTACAGCGTCACAAGTTACATTTCGTAGTAAGCGGAAATACACTGGTGATCAAGATATTAAAGAAGAATTACGCGAAATACGAAAGGGAATGGCAGAAATGATGCAAGTTCTAACGTCGATTAACGCGAATCAAACGGAAGCCATAAACAAGATATCGGAAGATGTAAGTTCATTGAAAGAACATGTAAAAGATCTTAAGACCGAGATAGATAGTCTCCGATTCGAAAATGAGAAAATAAAGCGTAATATAGAGAACTTGATCAGTAAATATAATGAAAAAGATAAACAAATAGAAACGTTAGACTCTGAAATAAAAAAACCTTCAAAGTACAAAACTAATAGATCCACTTACCACAACAACCGTTAGTAGCACAATAGAAGAAACTGTGATGGCAGAACTTTCATGCAAGAATATCATAATAACTGGATTAATGGAAACAAACATATCTGACTATAAAGAAAGAAAAGAGGCTGAGAAGAGAGAAGTACTTGGTTTATTAAAAAAGATCTCAAACGATTGTACAGAACCAAAAAGTATTACACGCCTGGGAAAGTATGCGCCAGACAAGCAACGCCTACTCAAAGTGTGTTTCTCAACAACAGAAGAAGCTATGTTTGTATTACGTTCTAAAAGTAATAAAAAAACTGAATCCCATTTAAATTTTCCCAGATCAAACGCCTCAACAACAAACTTTCTACAAAAAACTTAAAGAGTTGAAACATCGTAAGGACAATGGAGAGATGAACCTACCTATCAAATACAACAAAGGTATACCTAAAATAGTTAAAATTAAGCCAAACAACTAACAAAATTCTATGATAATCAAATTCCAATCTCTAAACATATTTCTTACCAACTAGCTTCTCAGTATGAGAATATTATAACGACAAGAGACTTTAAAATGCCTGTATATCAATGCACGCAGTATAGTTAAAGCAGGCAAATTTGGCGAACTAATATGTATTTTAAAATGTTTTAAATTTACGATTCACTTAATTTTGATAACGGAAACCTGGATAAAGTGTGAAGAAGAAGCAAAAAAAATTTCAGATATGTGGTTATACCCATTACTATAATTTTAGACCTAGTAGCAGAGGTGGTGGAGTATCAATCTTCGCACACAATATCATGAAAAATAATCTTGTATAAGAACAATGTCATATGATTATCCAACCGGAGACCAAGGTATTTTTCATTATCTACTTTAGAAATTGGTTCACTATTTATTGTGAGAGGCTTATAGTTACCATTTTTTTTATTTTTTGATGTAAAAATTACGTAGTGTGTTTTAGTAATATTTATAGTTAGACGGTTAGATACCACACATTCAATGTGTTGAGATCTGATTGGGCATCGGTAATCAATTCGTCAATTGAATATCCATAGTAAAACAGACTTGTGTCGTCTGCATATAATGTAATATTACCTTCTAATCCTATATCCTTAATACTGTTGATGTAAATCAGAAAAAACAGCGTTCCTAATATGGAACCTTGCGGTACTCCAAAAGTTATTAATTTTGGTTCACTTTGATTAGAGCCAATCTTTACTACTTGATATCTATTGGATAAATATGAAGCAAAAATATTCAAAGCAGATCCGGAAATACCCATATGTTTCAATTTACACAGTAACAGTTCATGACTAACTGTATCAAATGCTTTTTTAAGGTCTATAAAAATACCGAGTGCTATTTGTTTTTTGTCTATGCCAACTTTGATTTTTGTGACTAAATCTATTGTAGCCGAAAGAGTGTTCGATTTCGGTCTAAAGACATATTGTTTATCGTATAATATTTTTTTTAGAATTTAAATAGTTTGTAAGACGATTATATAACACACGCTCGAAAATTTTTGGATAGTACTGGTAATATTGAGATTGGTCTGTAATTTCCGGGATCTGATCTAGTTCCTGTTCTATATATCGGAGTTACTTTTGCTACTTTTAAACTGTCTGGAAATACGCCTTGTTCAAAGCAGTTATTGATGCAGTTTACAAGCTCATCAGCAATTATGTTCTTGATACATTTTATAGATTTCGTACTTACCCCGTCTAATCCAGTGCTAGGATTTAAATCATCTATAATTTTGTCGATTTCGTGTTTGCCGATTGAGTTACGGGTGTCCAATAGGATATAACATTACTTCCAGTTTCGATAATTATTGCGTCTAATACTGTTTGATTAACTTTAGGTATATTATTTGCCAGGATTGAACCAATATTCGAGAAAAAATAATTAAAACATTCACAGATAGCTTTACCCTCACTAACGACAGATCCCACTTGCGTGATCAGTTTATTTGGAGCAGTAGTTTCTTTGATCTTGTTATTTGATAGATCGTTGATCAGTTTCCACATTTTTGCTGGTTTGTGTTTACAGTCTTTAAACGCCTTATAGTAGTATTCACTTTTAGTTTTTTGTATTATATTGCTTACTTCATTTCTTTTCTTCACGAAGTTACCTCTTCTACTTTCATTGTCTGGATTAGTTTTATATTTGTGCCATAATGTGTTTCTTGTGTTTATTTCGTTTAAGATATCTTTATTAATCCAATCTCTTCTTGGTAGGTTGAGGAATTTGATCTTAGTGTCTTTGCTTTTATTTATACTAGATAAGATTTTTTCTTCCAGTTTTACATATTCACAATTATTACTGTTTTCAGTTATTGTATTATACAATTTGGTGTAGTTTATTGATTTATATTCATATTTTGATACCGCATCTTGCGTATACTTTTTGATTTCAAAATAGATCTGTTTATGATCAGATATACCTGATTCTATTATAGCAAGGTGAAATTGTTGTTCTTTGAGACTCGTGCTGACATGGTCTATAATAGTATTCGAAGAAGAAGTTACACGGGTAGAGTATTCGGGGTCAATTTTATTTAATAATTTGTAGCCACACTGTTCCAACATTTCCATATACATCGAAGTTGTACGTTCTTGGGTTGATAGGTCTACATTGTAGTCACCAAATACCACTGCCCTTCTGCGCGATTCTAATTTTGTTGAATATTTTTCTATGAATTTATTAATATTGCTGTTGTCGGGTTTTCTATAGATGACACCTCCGATAGGAGTAATAGTGTTCTGTGGATGACACCCACATCCAGCGAATACTTGTCAACATGTATCCATAGATAATGATTGTTATCAAGACATTGTTCTTCTACAAGATTATGTTTCATGATATTGTGTGCGAAGATTGATACTCCACCACCTCTGCTACTAGGTCTAAAATTATAGTAATGGGTATAACCACATATCTGAAATTTTTTTGCTTCCTCTTCACACTTTATCCAGGTTTCCGTTATCAAAATTAAGTGAATCGTAAATTTAAAACATTTTAAAATACATATTAGTTCGTCAAATTTGCCTGCTTTAACTATACTGCGTGCATTGATATACAGGCATTTTAAAGAGTCTTTTGTCATTATAATATTCTCATACTGAGAAGCTAGTTGGTAAGAAATATGTTTAGAGATTGGAATTTGATTATCATAGAATTTTGTTAGTTTTTTGGCTTAATTTTAACTATTTTAGGTATACCTTTGTTGTATTTGATAGTTAGGTTCATCTCTCCATTGTCCTTACGATGTTTCAACTCTTTAAGTTTTTTGTAGAAAGTTTGTTGTTGAGGCGTTTGATCTGGGAAAATTTAAATGGGATTCAGTTTTTCATTACTTTTAGAACGTAATACAAACATAGCTTCTTCTGTTGTTGAGAAACACACTTTGAGTAGGCGTTGCTTGTCTGGCGCATACTTTCCCAGGCGTGTAATACTTTTTGGTTCTGTACAATCGTTTGAGATCTTTTTTAATAAACCAAGTACTTCTCTCTTCTCAGCCTCTTTTCTTTCTTTATAGTCAGATATGTTTGTTTCCATTAATCCAGTTATTATGATATTCTTGCATGAAAGTTCTGCCATCACAGTTTCTTCTATTGTGCTACTAACGGTTGTTGTGGTAAGTGGATCTATTAGTTTTGTACTTTGAAAGTTTTTTTTATTTCAGAGTCTAACGTTTCTATTTGTTTATCTTTTTCATTATATTTACTGATCAAGTTCTCTATATTACGCTTTATTTTCTCATTTTTGAATCGGAGACTATCTATCTCGGTCTTAAGGTCTTTTACATGTTCTTTCAATGAACTTACATCTTCCGATATCTTGTTTATGGCTTCCGTTTGATTCGCGTTAATTGAAGTTAGAACTTGCATCATTTCTGCCATTCCCTTTCGTATTTCGCGTAATTCTTCTTTAATATCTTGATCACCAGTGTATTTCCGCTTACTACGAAATGTAACTTGTGACGCTGTAGAAACGTCTGTGGCTGACTCTCCCGTCGATAAATTGGGCTGTAAACCACTAAGTCCGGCACCTGTGCCACTTCTAGTAGGTGAGCGTATTCGCATCATGTTGATCTGTGGTGCGTGTATTCACTCGCAGCGTACTTAGCAGAGTAATGTCACAACAGCGTAGGGGAGTGTATGCCGATTTATTATATGCACCTTATTAACTTAAGAATTAAGTTCGTTTAAGCGTATTTTATTATTTTTGTATTGATGTTTTGTATGTATTGTGTGCATTGATTTTGAGTCTCTTATATCTTTAGGTAATTTGTTATATATTTGGGAACCTTCATACATTATACATTTTTTACCGAAATTTATTCGCGGTGTTATTAATTCAATATCGTTGTTTCGCCTAAGTTTCATTTTGTTTAGTTGTATTCTTTTTAGTAAAGTTGTATTCGTGTGTATGTCTTTATTTAAAATTTTCCGAATTAGTATACAATTTTTGGTACACGTGTGTTTGTGATATGTTCATTACATTAATTTGTTTATAAAGTTTATCTCTCAGTGTAAGATAATCGAAATGAAATAGTACTTTTAATTTATTTTGGACAGTTTGTAATATTGCTATATTAATTTTGGCTGCATTACCCCATATTTCTACTAAATAATCGATTTGTGGTTTAATAATGGTATTATAAATCGTATACCGTACGGAAACTGGAAGAGAGCGCGCAATACCCTTTATCATACTCATTAGAGATGTCAGCTTGGATTTGATTTTTAGAATGTGCGGGAGCCAAGTTAATTTACTGTCTAAAATAAGACCTAGATACTTTTCTTGTTCTGCCTTATTAATTTTTATGCCATTAATCATCAACGGACTTCAGTCATCAATCTTTTTGTTTTTTGCAGTAAAAATCATATAACTCGTTTTGGTTGTGTTGATCGTTAAAAGATTGCTCTGTAACCATTGGTTTACCGAATCCAAATCATTTTGTGCTTCTGATACAATAGATCCGATTGAGTGACCATAACAAAAAGACACGTATCATCAGCGTATAAGGTTA